TGAAAAATTAATCACAACTAATTAACAGTTAAACTAATCACAACTAATTTTTGTAATAAAATGGCACGCATTTTACCATAACTTTCACATAAGATAATTATTTCTGGAATAGTCTTTCCTCCATAAGCCTTGATGCTTTAATTACTAGAGTTTGCAATAATAAACAGTATTTCTCAAGCATTTCTTTCCTCAAAACAATCCCATTGTTCAAGCATCACGGTCAGTGCCTGTCAGGGCACTCTCTTTATCTCACACAGTAAGAGTCATTAACGGGCTAAGCAGAATATTTGCATCTTCAAAATCTATTGCCAAACTCTTGCAGCCGTAAGTGCTACAAAAATTTGCAGGGCTAAATACCATACCTGGTCACCTTGTGAAAAATATTGGCACACCAAAGTGGCCTCTCTATAAGGTTCAAGTGAGAGATCATCTTTGAATGCTAATGAAGACCCCTTTGGATGTTCTCTGTAAGTAATGTAGGAAAGTAGATTTTCTAACAGTATTCCATTTCCCAGTTTGTGTTACTACAAGTAAAACTGTCAACCTCACCATCTGTAGCACAGTTTCGTAATTTATAGATGTCAAATGTTGAAAACTCAACTTAATGTTTGTTCAAGTAAGAAATTCCACTTAATAGGTTTGCATGAATAAATCCTACAGGAAACAATATTCGATGGGTAAAATTACATAGAACTGATCTAACGCATCACACTCCCTTGCTCTCCACGCATTCCTTCCGCATCTGCTCACTACTAGTACTGTGCTGTTTCTGACCCTCCTTACACCATTCACTGATCTGACTGAATTTTTTGACCCAGTAGAAAACTACCTGCTATTTTTTGCTGGAGAACAAGTCTCCTGAGTACCACAGCTAAGGACCTGGGAGAGGTGGAAAGTGGTGAATATGGCTGGTCACCTCATGCTGAGATCAGAGACCTGGCCCTGCTGGCTGCTCAGGCCCACCTCCTCTTTGCTGCCAGCCAAGGGCTCCTACCTTCCTTATGCCGACTCCAGAGTTCAGTGAACCCTTTGCTCAGCCAAAAAAGCGAATAGTTCTCTGCAGGGTTGGTGCGGTGAAACGTATTGGCAAAGGAGACAACAAGCAACGGAGCAGCGAAGGGGAAGGAGGTGAGTACACGCAGCTGAGGAGGGGGAAGCACCTACCATTTAGATCAGCTTAGGCTGTCTCAGAGCTGCAGCCGACTGTCCCACAAAACTGCAAGTAGAAGGGAATCTCTGCATTCATAACCCCTCTTCCCCCACAAGAAGAATGCCCTAGCACCTCTTCAGCAATATTACTTCCATTCCCCAACTCCTTCTTCCTCCAATAACCTTCAAAAAGTGAATCAAGTGGGCAGACTAATGGGATGCTTAGAGAACTGGTGAAATCCGACTCCCTAAGCCAATGTTTGCGTGACCAGCAGAAGTAACAACATGAATTACTTTCCCTAGTCGTATCAAAATAAAATAAACTTCAGAGTTTATTTCATTTCAAAATTAAACATGAAAATAAGGAACCGTACAATGCTACTGAGAAGGGTTAGTACTTTGAGAATAAATGTTTGGTTTGAAAACTACTTTACCTACAGACTAGACATTTTTCCCTGCTGGATGTGATCTCCTATCCAGCAAAGACTGGCTCTCACCAGTATACGTGCTTCATATGCTGCACCTATTAATGGGGTATTTTCATAAGCTTTTTAGGCCTGGAATTCTGGACCTGACTTCACTAGCTCTTGTTACACTGAAACAGGACCTTATTTCGAGTACACCGGAGCAAAGTCAATGGGACATTGCAGAACAACGTATTACATGCAGCAAGGAAAACTTACAGCATCCAGCCCTGTGATTAATAATGTCTAATTAATGTTTACAGTACAGCAACCTCAGGTCAAGGCTCAAACTGGAGTTCAAACTACTGCAGTCTTAGGTTTTATCTGGCTTTTTCAAAAAGATGGCTTTATGATAGGATAAATATAACTGTTGTTTATTCTGTTCAAGCTGCTTTTAGAAGTAGCTTACAGCACTTAAATGTCTTGCAGAGTCATCACGAAAATTTTCAAGCCAAAGCATAAAATACGTTTCTCTGTTCTTTGCTAGGCTGATTAATGACGGGAAAACAGATGGTGTTTACACATTTGTCAAAACTAAACTAAACTCCCGAAACTATCACCAACAAAACACTTCTACTGAATGATCTGGAGGGTAGATTTTGCAATTCTGCATCAACATATCTCTCCAGAAAGCTTTAATTATGCAACCAATGACTTTCTGGTCTCTTGCCCACAACTATTATTCTTTCCATCTCTTCCCTGTCCCTTAAACATCTCAGTCCCACTCCCTTAACTTAGCCACTCCTCATCTCCTTATTCAGCTGTTAGTCTCTCCTCTCAAACAGCCATTCTCCAGTCTTCACTTATTGCTACCAGTGTTTCTCCTGATAGTCGTAGATGCCCCATCCTTTTCAGTCTCCTTGCTCTTGAAGTATCTTCTGCTGCATTTTCTGTTTTTCCTGAAGTCTCCTTTCCCCCGTGACTTCCAATCATCTTCTCTTTTTTACCCGACAACCGAATACCTGTCCTGATATTCCTAACTTCTTTCCACTTGGCCTCAGCTCCTCATCCTACTTTTGCCAGTCTCAGGTCTCTCATTCACATTCTAGCTCCCTCGGTATTCTCTCTCCACCCATTGTCAGTCTCCTTATTGGTTCCCTTCTCAAGCTAACTTCAGTCTTTTCCGTTTCTTCATCGAATATTTCAGTATACTTCAGAACTGAACATGAGCGTATGCATCACCAAACGTTCCCAAATTCAGGAGTACATTGGTTAATGTGAAGATGTCTGAATTGCACCTAAAAACATGGGTTGGCAGGACAAAAAACAGCATGCAGAAATGGGTCTTTTGTGGCAATAGTGACATAAGCAAATCTGGAGGTATGCTGCCAACTGTAAAACACCTAATCCTTGCACTTCTGGAAGTGCCATATGATACTATGGAGCTGGCCTTGGCTACAGACTGAGACATAGCTTGTACTTCACTCTGGAAGAGCATAAGCATTGCTCTGAAAAGAAGTTAGGAGGAATAACTATCAGGCAAGTGAAATATTTATATTTCTTACATTAGAAGTCATCACAATCTGTCTTCTAGCATTTTTCCACATCATCTGGCTACAACCTTATTAGTACTTTACACAGCTGTTGCACAGAAGTGTAATATTATTATGGAAGTTACACACAGAAATATCCAACTCTCTGACCCTAAAAGGTTACAATAACTTAAGTTAGGTGCATATTTTAATATGTGATAGTAAACAAAATGGAATTGAACATTTTTTTAAACATAGCAGCCTTAACATTCTGCAGGTTTTCTTCTTTGCTGTCAAAAACCCAGAAACCTAACAGCCACCCAACTCTCCCTCCTTTGTCCATAACCACTTAAGTTAATAATTCTCTATTCTTTATGTGACCATCAACAAGAGAATTGAGGGAAAAATAAACTGATTGACAAACTTCAGGAAATAAATAAGTGCCATCTCCCTGTAAATAAGAGTGTATTTAAAAGTAAAAGCAAAACCTCTTTAAAAGTTTGCAAATAGTATAGTAGAGAAGTACTTATTACAAGTGACCTATCAAAGCACTTAAATATGAACATGACATTCCCCTGATTTCATATGGTTAACAGTGAGTGCACGATCAAGCACTTCACTGGATTTTAGCTAGAAAATTCAATGCTGCAAAAGACTGAGCACTATTCCACTGACACGAACACGCACGTGAAACTTTTAGGTAAAACTTCCTACTGCTAGCGTTCTACTGAATGTCAACATATTACTCAAAATCATAACTTTCTTACACTAAACTGTATCTTTGTTAATTTAAATAGGCAATTTTTATTAAAGCAGTACTTGGAAAAATGAAAAATAAAAAATATTGTTCAAGAGGAAAAATCCTCAAGAGAAAACACTAAGAACGACAGTGATGAAAAGGACAGAGATGGAGAAAGTTCCAATTAATACCCTTTGGAGAAGCAAGGCTTTCCTGAATTTCCTGTTGAAAAGTCAATTAGCAGCAATATTCACATCCTTCATTCCGCACTGGATCAGGAAGTGGACCTGCAGTTCTAAACAAAGCTCAGGCAAGACTGAGAGCTACTTGCTGCTGTAGTTGAGTGCTTAATTTGGGCTGTACGTATTTTACGGTCTTTACGACTACCATACCTGTTGTTACCATTAATGTCTCCAGAGTTTCTTTATACTGGAAAAATAAAAAATCAAACAAAAGAAAGCCCCTATCGTAGCAGTCACACAAATCACTGGTGGTATATCTGAGGACTGTACAGTATTTTTCTGTGATGCATATTTTTCAATAGCACAAGATATTAATGTTTAAATTTCATCACAAGTGAAATTAGGTGGGGTAGAAGAGAAGAAAGGGAGGCAATATTCCCTCCCCCTCAGCGTGACCCAAAGCAATGTATGCTCCAGATCCTCTGGAGTAGCAGCTGTATCACTTCACCATCTTCCTTCCTTTCCTTCCTTACCTTCCTACCACCTACACTGTGGCTGCAAGGGTAAGAAAGAAAAATATACAGAAAAAACACACAAAACTGGTCAGTAAATAACAGCAATTTCTAGCAGATGAGCAGGATGTGATTCATCTGACAGAAGGCAGGCATTTACATCTGAACTATTCAGCACCAGTTGATTTAATGGTGGACGAGAGGAGCAGAAGGAATGCATTTCTATGGCGTAGTTCTAAAATACACAACTAAATAGGTCAGATTTACCTTAAAGTTTAGAAATGGGCAACCTTAAAGTTGCCAATTTCTCTCTACTGGCCACAAAACCAATGTAAGGGGACACAATCAGATGCAGACATCTAAATTTATATCACTATATGAAGGATTCATCATGTTTAAATTGATAATGTGCTTTCCTTTTTTCATCGTGATGAATCAGACACAGATGTTTTCCTTTGATATTCCTCTACTCCCCAGTACTTTTAAATATATTTAAATGAAAACATAGGCCTACTTATTATTCACATACATTAAGACAATCCAATGCACGAATGAGGGAAACTCACAGATGAAGACCAGTTAGCTTGAAACTGAACCTGAATAGGACAGAATTTCTGCAAATAGCCTACAAAGCACCAAAACTGCATTCTAAAGAACCGGAGCTATGATGCAGCCACGTTAACAGGTAGACAAGTCAAGCATTCCAGGCTGATGCTAAGCTTTACAGAATGTCTCCCATGAACTTAGAAGCAGCATGCTTGACTGCACGGGCTGGGTAGGAGATTCCACCACATCTCAGACCACGGCCTGCTCTTCACGCAAGACAACATAGAGGGAAACTTACCCTCTCCTGGGAGCAGGCTTATCAGGGCAGATCTGATATCATACAGTAAATTCACATATAGAAACTAAACTTTAGATCTAAATAGAAAGTATATTTTTTTAAATGAATAACGTATTTAAAACAAGTTAAAAAACACACACACACACACGAGCAAAACAAAAAAAGAACCGCTACATTATGTACCAATTTTTTTTTTAACCCAACAGCTTCTTTCTTATCCAACAATAGAATCAGGAAAAATGAATTATGCATGACAAGTATTGGTGACATTATATGATGTACTACCAATAGGAGTTCAGGGAGGAAGAAGAAAATAAGTACCATGGAACCAAAGTAGTGACATACGAATAGGCATAGAGAAGCACATTAAAACATATTCACGTTATGTACTTGTCTTTGTGAAAATCTGGCTCTTTAGATTAATAAAGACCAGAGATTACTTGCATATCTAAAAAGTTTAAAATTTCAATGTCATTTATACAGAAGGTATTATAAGCATAAACTGTTAAATATATAAATATAACCTTTATACCAGACTATTTAACTTAAACTTTCCAATGTGTTTTATAAGCAGTAATATACTATACTACTCTCCCTACTACTCTCTCTCCTGAAAATTAAGAGAATTCCAGCAAAATAGGATTTCTAAAATGTCAAGTATTATGAAGCAGTCTGCTGTACATAACACTTTTTGAAAGGCGATAGCAAAAACATTTCACTGGCACAAGGTCAGTCAATTCTGAGAACATAGGAGCTTCTATTTTTATCTTTTCATTTCTACATCATTCAGTGCTTTAACGTAACATTAGCATTAGAATTTCATCTGGAAACAATCTTTACAGACACGCTAAATTTTTATTTGATGACAATGATTCTTCAAATGGACATTCACTTCAAGGATTCTACTTTATAGCTGTCACTTGTTCTGTTACTTGCAGTTTGCTTTATTTTTCCATAGTGAAATCACCGTTATTGTTGTACTTGTCAGCATAATAGTCTGAGTCAAAGCTTACAGACAGGTCTGGAGGACTCACATAAACGTTTCCGTTGTCTACGGTAACTTTATGAATCCTTTGTTTCACTCCTTTTGATTGCCACCGTGGTGTTGGTGATGGTTCCATAGGGTTTATGGCTTGATATAATCCTTCTCCTGTTTCCAAAGTAATTTTATACTTATGCCAAGGACAAATAATACATGGTTGACCATTGAGATCCTGAAAATAAAAATGAAAACAAACAAAAAAACAAACAAAAAAGGGAGAAGAAGTGAGCCACTGACTTCTGACTCTTCCTCTCCTTGGAAAATATTTTATGCCAAAAGATATGCCTAGTGATTTACCTGTACTGCACTGCACTGTTCATGCAGGAATACAAAGTTTGATTTCTAAGAGCACCATTGTTTTAGTAGCGAACTGGACTGGTGATTCATTTGGTGCTGGAGAACTGTGTCCAAGAGGTGCACAGTATCAGCCCTTCCTTCCAACGTTCATAGTACGACTGCCTTATAATAATATTCTACCATTACGGGATGCATCCATACAGCAAAGGGAATCAGATTCTAACCCCATTTCTCCCTTCATTTAAGCTTCATGAGATAAAAACATGTATAAAATGTCATCTTAAATAGGGTGAGAGGCAATGCTATTCTTACAAAACTACCTGTTTCTTTCAACATAACGTTCTGATAAAAGTATTCAAAAATGCATTAGAAGATTTCATTATTCATGCACTGTTTTTATTATGCTTACATACCTCTATTTCTCCAAGATGTAAAGGACCTCCTGCATCTAAAACATGGTAGAAAATGATATTAAGTTATGTAACAAATTTTATACGTAATTGTTACAACATCAAGATCATATGTGCAAATATCTTACGGTAGCAGCGAGCGTCCATAGCATAAAATTTCCCTTCGTGGTAGAAAACGACGACTTCTCTGTCATTGACCTTAGTGGTTATTCTTTGGGACTTTTTAATGTCATCTTCTTTACCAACATATACAGGTGCATCAGGCTCCGTTTCAACTGTTCCTTTGCCTGAGCTGTGCAAATCCATGTCCTTAAAATGCAAAAAATTCAAAAAGACACCTTATAAAACAATTCGTGTTTGGATTTCTACATATAGAATGGATGCCTTAGTCACAGAGAAGCCACTAGCCATCTAACGTGTAACACGAAAGAAACAGAAGTTTTCATAAAAGATTATCAATATGCACATGAAACAAAGCACAGGAGTTTGATAACAGTGTTTAGCCAATGTGTTCATTAACAGAACTGGGAGTGGGAATGCTGACTGTTGCAAACTGATGCCTGAGGCAGAGAAAGATAAATTCTAAATCTCTATTTATTTACTCTACACTTTAATCACCGTCTTCTCTCAAAATCTATATACAAATAAACACAAAGATGCTAAATGCAAAATACAGCATTTGCTGTAAATGCAAAAATTAGCACTTGCATCTAAATCCAATATTGTTTAAATAATATTACAACTAGAAATACAAACTGATACAAGTTGATAAAAAAGTAAAAACATTGCCTGCAAAAGGGAAAAAAACCTGTCCAGCGAGACGCTTTATCCATACGAGCTTTTTAGCAAATGTATTCTGCTTTTTCCTTCTTCTCCCTATTTACTTCAAATGTCTGACACAGGCTCTCTCTTTCAATAGGGGGCATAAGTAGGTCTCCCTCTTTTAGCACAAAACCTATATGAAAGTCTTATCTTCGAGACTTTTAATCTTCCTCTCAAATTTGGTTACAATTAGCTGCTGCGTTCCAGTTACCTTAGAACTCCTCATAGGCACATAGCATGTTCATAGCACAACCACATTATCCTCACTTCCTCAGAAAGTCAGGCTAAAAAAAATCTTGGTACACATTGAGAATAAAGAGGAACCGCAGGCAGACATAATGAAGTTGCAAAGAGGGTTAAGAGTTACAAAGAGTTGTATAACTTCTCAGTCACACAGCTAGCCATACAGTACCTTAGATCCACACCAGATCACAACAGAGATGAGAAAACACACGAAGAAATGAAGGCTCAGAATAATGATTTCCAACATTGGCTCTCTTCAGTATTCCTACCACAGCTAGGCCTGCTTTGTTCACACGCGTAGCAGCTTTTATCAAAGTGCTTCTTTTTGTGAAAAGCTTTTTTTTGTGAGATAGCGGGGCTGGCCCTAATAGCATAAAAAAAGCAGGCTTTTCACAAGGCTCAGCTTGGCTGGAGTGATCTGTGCCAGGACTGATAAAGCAGAGAAGATCTGGGACTGCCCTGATAACAGACCAGCACAGCTCCAAGTTCGATTTACTGCGTTTCTCTTTATAAGCAACACTCCATGACTGCCTCCCATCAAGTGGGTCACATGAATTTAAAACCACGTTTATAAGTCATTTATTACCCTCCCATGAGTATTCATGCTCAACAACCACATGTTTCCTAATAAGATGTTATACCAAGAAGACTGGGATAACACCATGGTATTTTCAAGGCCAGTTGTTTTTTGATTTATGCATGATCAGCTCTAAGTACAGATTCTTTGCACTCCAGATACAGGTGCTCTACCAAATCCTGCCTACAAAGCAAAATGTCACAGTTTTCAGACTTACAGAACTGCCTGATAAAACATTCACATTTTTCTTATTTTCTTTAGAAAATAAGCATAGCATGTAGCAATCTAATCATGAGAGCTGGAATAGGAAACTCCCAATTTTTACTATCACCTTTTGACTAACTCTGTGTATAAACTTCCCAGATCAGCCAAAATCTTAAAATACGGGTGCTTGTAGTTAGAAACATTCTTGTGAAGACAGCAATCAGAAATTATATATGTAGATAGGCAGATAGATAGATACAGATATGTCCTGACCAGTATTAAAATAACACTTAGCACCAAATCTCCTGTTCATTTAGTGAAGACATTTCTACAGCCAGCCCACATTTGTATACATATATTATACAACTGCCCAACACTGAAACCCGGCTGAGATTGTTAGCGTCTTGTGCATCCCATATTTATTAACTGGAATAAGTAACAATAGCAAACTGCTTCATTTTACAGGTAGACTGAGATGTAAACACTTCCATGTTTATCTATAATCAACCGTTTAAGAGCAGCCCCAGCAAAAGCAGGTCCTACAGAACAAAGCCCTCAAGGCAATGTATACTTGTTAACACAGTACTGAGTTTAAGAAAAAGCACTGGCAGAAGACTGCCTTCCCTTAGGAAAGGCAACTAATTAAAGACTCAATAACAAGAAAAGCCTGCAACTAAACTCTTTTACTGCAGTTCTGCTGTTGGCCACTTTCTCATTCACTTTCTCATCCATGAAGTGGAAACAAACTTGCAAAGCATTAACAAAAAAAGAGGAGAGATTTCAAACCAAAACAGTCCAGTAGACACTGAAAGCCCAGAAGGAGGCAGCGGCTTCTTGCCTACAGCACCCTTCCCAGTCTGGGAGAGGTTGGGATGGGCAGGGGAACCTTATGGAAGAGAAGTCCGATAGCCCTCCAAGCCGGTTTTCATTTTACATGCTTTTCCACTTTTCCAGCAGGCAACTCTCAGCCCCGGGTGTGATGCTATTTCTGCAGCACTGCCTCTTGTGGCAGGAACCTACTGTAACAAAGATGGGCTGTTGCTTCCCTCCCATTCCTGAAACAGCGAAAGACTGGCATTAGGCCCTTATCATAGAATTTCTGAGCTAGTAAACAGTCACCTATTAAAAGCACATGAAATTGGCATTTTATTTGTTTGCCCTCTTAGAGCTCCTTGGAAAGTGTAGTTTCCATTGCATGCTACGTAAGGGGAACTAAAAATCCATTTTGCTCAACTGCTTTGTTTCCAGGTCACTAACCAAGCTAAAATCCCTCTGTTTAAACAAGACTCATAAGGTACAACTGTCGGCGCAAGCCTCTCAGACCTCACTGCATCCCAGCAGAGCGGAAGCGCCAGGCCCAGAGCGCGTCCTGCCAAAA